CCCCAAAACCACAAAACCCCAAAACCCCAAAACCCCAAAACCCCAAAACCCCATGAAAATTTAAAAAATTTGAACTTTGTTTTAATATAAATATAGCTGATATGGAAGAAAATAATTTAGACAGTCCTGAGAAGATAGATGAAGGATCCAAGCTAGGCAATTATATTATCAGTAAAACCATCGGAGAGGGAACCTTCGGCAAAGTCCGCCTTGGTATTCACACCCTTACTAACGAAAAAGTAGCTGTGAAAATATTAGAAAAAGAGAAGATTAAGGAAATCGCTGATGTAGAAAGAGTAACTAGAGAGATTTTTATACTCAAATTAATCAGACATCCTAATATTGTTCAACTGTATGAGATTATTGAAACTCCTAAAAATTTGTTTTTCATCATGGAGCATTGTGCAAAAGGGGAATTATTCGATTATATCGTGGCCCAAGGACGTCTCAAAGAGAAAGAAGCATGTAAATTCCTGCAACAGATCCTCTCAGGTGTGGAATATATTCATAAGCTAAATTTTGTCCATCGAGATTTGAAGCCAGAAAATTTACTTCTTGATGAAAACATGAATATCAAAATAGTTGATTTTGGTTTAAGTAATATTTTCCAAGATAAAGAAATGCTAAAAACTGCTTGAGGGTCTCCTTGCTACGCTGCTCCAGAAATGGTGGCTGGAAAGAAATATGCTCCCTCTTGAGTTGATATATGGAGTTGAGGTATAATCCTGTATGCAATGATCTGCGGATATCTTCCATTCGAGGACCCAGATACATCTAAGCTCTATCAAAAAATCTTATCAGGAGACTTTGAAGTTCCAGAATTCATGACTCCTCTTGTTGAAGACATTCTTCACAAAATTCTAAATACAGATCCCAAAGAAAGATATACAATTGATGAGATCAGGAAGCACAAATGGTTCCTGAAATATCATTCCAAAGAACCACAAAAGACTGGAATCTATGTTGGATACAACAAAGTCCCCATCGATAACGAAGTTATCAGAAAGCTAGAAGACTTCAGTATTAGTCCTGGTTATGCCCAAAAACTTCTTGGTTGTTCTCATAATGACATAACAGCTTGTTATTATCTTCTGATGAAGAAGCTCAATAAGCAATATTTCCCAGATGACAATGAAAGCCCGAGAACTCTGAAAAAGAAACGGAGAGAAAATGAAGAACAAAAGTATGCAGTCTCACTTCTCGAAGAAGCTAGGAGGAAGAGCAGTAACAAGAATAGGACATCTAGTTCTAAAGAAAGAATTTCACAAGTGAAATATACAGGCGATGAACTCAATAGCACTACTAGAAAAGATCCAGACGATTCAAACCTTTCCTCGCCTAGGGATTCTGGTGTTGATAATAAGGTTGAAGTTAGCAGAAGAGTTGACTCGAATGACACAGAAACTCGAAGTAACTACAATAAGAATAAAGAGAGATCTGCAACCCAATATCGGAAGAGAAGCAACGACCAGAGTGACAAATTATCCCTCAACGATCGTCTTTGTAATTCAAATGTAAATAAAAGAGGAAGGAAGGACTCACAAGAAGTCTATAAGCCAAAGCCTGAGAAAACTAGAGTTAGTTATAATGAGTGGAGCAGCAAAGGAAATGTAATTGCTACATCTCCAAATAAATTTCCTACCAATAAAGATCAATCAGAGTATAATTATTATGAAAAACTCGGAGGAAATGCTGGGCCAGAACTGAATAATGCCCAAAATTTGAAACTTTCAGATTATTTAAAAATATCTGAACCTAAAGAAGATGATATCCAAAATGAAGTCTTTATGGGAAACCAGATTCTCCCTGATGATAGTCAGAAATATGGATCGAATATCTCATTTGAAAGCCTATCTGCTGTAGCCAAGATATTTAGTAACAATTTTAAAGTAGAAAGAGACCTTGAATTTGATCTTGACGATGATAAGATAAATAGAACGAATATCGAGGAAGTCACTGAAGAAGAAATTCTTAGCACAGCTGAGAAGGATACTCATAAAGAGCATTATCAAGCCCAGAAGGAAAATATGCAAAGTAATATCTTACTGATCAATGCCATAAAATAATGCTGCTAAAAAGAAGGCTGTGCACCAGAATTCAGATGCGATTTCGAACTCGGTTATCATAGAGAATGATAAAATCAAATACAATAAATCTAAGAGATCAAAATATCCTCGAATGAATGTTTCTAATAGAAAATTTACTATAAAAGGTAAAAAGGATCCAGAATCACAACTTCTGTACAATGAAGATTATAAGGACTACATTCCTAAGAAAAGAAACACTACCTCAAGCAAAAGAGGTAATAGTGGAAGCCGAAGGAGCAAGAAGAATCTCAAACATGATGGCAAGGTTAGTAATAGGAAGACAAACCTTCTGTGACATGGTTATAAGGGGTCTCATAAGAGGTCTCAATCTTTGAACAAGTCAAATACTGATTCAAGGTATAAGAGTGTTCCTCATAGTAGTTATCAAAATGATAATGAGAAATTCAGGAAGATTTTTGCAAAAACCAAATTCAATACTATTGTAAATAACAGAACTCCTCAAATCAGTCGAGGAAAGAACAAACATAATGACCCTAAACTTGAGTTGAGTCTTAGAAATGCGAAGAAGAATCTTCACAACTACTTTAGAGAGAGTAATAACTTTGCATCTCTTACAGGAAGGGAGAAAGGCAAAGCATTGGCTAAAAAGGTATATGCACTTACAAATGTCAATGATCTCTAAGGATCATTGATAATTCTGATTCCAATACTCCTTAAGAATTTAGCTACATGTTAAATAAAAATAGGATTCTTCAAAACTTTAGAGTTGGCTAATTATTCTAACTTCTCTCTGCTCTAGGGGAATAAGAAGAATGAATCGATTAAGAAAACAAAAATAAAAGGAAATAAAACAAAAGACAGACATGGAAGGTTCATATCTCCTGCTTTTAAATGAGGTCGTAGCCACTCGAGAAAAGTTGATAATAATCCTCCTGGAAAAGGAAATTTCATGGCTCTCAATAAAATTCAAAATTTACTTACAAATATACGGACCTCAAGGTCTAACAAAGTGTCTAAGGCTGGTACAGAAAGTGGAAAGAAGTCTAGTGCTTACAGGAATGATGCCACTGGATATAAATCGACTTTAGAACCAAAGGCTAACAAATACAAGCATTATAACAACCTGAACACGATAAATCACAATGATTTTTATGATGGAATTAACTCTTCAACAAAATAACCACAAGAAGAACAAAGCTCTGAAGTATTTCAATGGGCCAGGAAGACAGGTATTCCATCAATTGTGAAATAAGATGAGAAAGTATGAGAACTTGAAATCTCTCTATGCCTCTAGTGAGACTATCAAGACCTCTCTAAATACATCTTCGCTTGGCAAGAGCAAAATTTATAACTCAAAAAGTAAAAATGAGAAAAAGGCTAAAACCTCTTTGAATAATGATAGAATGATGAAGAAGTATCAGAAAGAGATCACCTTGATAGCAAAGAGGAAGAGGGAGTACGCTCTAGCACAAGCAAAGGCTAATAATCACACTAATAATGTAAATACAACAGCTTCTACCATTTTGATGAGCCTTGCTGGAGCTAATGCTAATAATTTGAGCATTACCGAATATCCTGGATTCAATGAATCTCTTGCATCTCTGAATCATGATTTTGGAAAAGTCAGGATTGGTGAATATGTCCCACAAAACATCTCTCACAAGAATATGAGCAAAATGAAAGTAGGACGGAACAGCACTAAGAAATTCCTCAGAGGGGTTCATACAGAAATTAGGAAAAAGCAGAGCGGAAGTGTGGATAGGCGCAAGTCCCACGACCAGAGAAGGGCATCTGGCTCTCGCAAAAGATCTGAAGAAAATCGTAGGAAGAGCAATAATAAATGAAAAAGAGGTATTATTGAGAAGAACCAGCTTGGTAAGAGGAAGATAATAGCTACAGAAATATTTTAAAACTCAATAATTTTATAAAAATTAATTCAATAATGATGTAAAAAAAGGGGTTTTGGGGTTTTGGGGTTTTGGGGTTTTGGGGTTTTGGGG